ACTTTGGGCATGTTGTAAGGAGGAACTGGTCCTTGGAGAGGGACATCATGTTTGGGAGAGAGCAGGGACGGCGCAGGAGAGGAAGACCCTCAATGAGATGGATCGATTCTGTGAGTGAAATGTTGGGAATGAGTGTGTTTGAGACTGCTAGGTTGGCAGGGGGCAGAATGGCATTTAGGGCTCTTGTACACAGGGTCTCTATGAGTTACATAACAACAACAACAAGTGATACAAATTGTGGCTAATCTTGAGGTAAATGGGAATCCTCGAACACTTGATTGTGCTTATGCAAAACCTATACTTTAACTAGGAATCAGTCCTCAGAACAGAGCAAGGAAACACTGCATCATTCAAAATCAGGAAAGGAGAGCATCAGGGATGCATCCTGTCTTCATACCTTTTCAATCTACATGCAGAACTGTTCTATTTGGGAAGCAGGGCTTTATGAGGGGGAATGTGACATCAGGATTGAAGGAAGGCTCATCAACAACCTATGTTATGCAGATGACACAAACTTGTTTGCTGTAACTGAAGAGGACCCAAAGTGCCTGTTGCAGGTCAAGGAGTGTAATTTTCAATATGGATTGAAGGTAAACTTCAAGAAGACAAAGACTTTGACCACTGGGCCAATTGGCAGCACCATGATGGATAGAGAAGAGATTAAGGTTGTTAACAATTACAGTTTGCTTGGCTCCACAATCAATTCTCTTGGCAACAGCAGTCAGGAAATCAAAAGACAAATTGCATTGGGAAAACCTGATGTCAGAGACCTCTCCTGAGGACTGAAAAACAATAATGTCAGTCTAAAGAGTAAGGTGTGCCTGATCCAGACCATGGTCTTCACAATTACTTGCTATGCATTAGAGTGCTGGACAATAATTAAGGTTGAGAGAAGAAGAATTGATGCCTTTGAATTGTGATGCTAGAGAAGAGTCTTGAACATACTATGGACTGCCAAGAAAACAAACAGGTCTATCTTGGAGAGGGTGAAACCAAGTTTCTCCTTGGAGGCCAGGATTTTGAAGCTCTGTCTCACACACTTTGGACGTGTGGCCAGGAAAGACTGGTCCTTGGAGGAAAGATATCATGCTCAGAAGGGTGGAGGGACAGAACCTCACCCAAGGAGAGGAAGATCCCAGATGAGATGGGTTGATACAATAACTAGGGCAAAGGAGGTAGGTGTGTCAGAGTCAGCGAGACTGGCTCAGGACAAGTCAGGATTCAGAGCTACTGTACATAGGGCTATCAGTCGCAGGCAACTCGATGGCACAAAACAACAACAACAACAAGTGATACAAAAGGTTAATTGCTTGACTATAATGAAAGCCTGGTAACCAGAAGCACATCAGAAGAAAGATCGGGCTATCTGATTTTTTAAAAATTCAGCCCTAGAAACCCTCCATAAAGCACAATTCTGCTCTGAGTCACATGGGTTTACCATGATTTGTAAGTGGCTCAATGAAAGCTATTTGTTGTTACAATTGTGTGTTTGATAAGGTAATTGGAATCTCATGAAATTAAATTAGAGAGCATTTGGGAAGTTGAGCCTCCATGTCCCTGGAAGATGGCCCAGCAAGGAGGCAAAAGAGAAAGTACTATACAGTGATACTGGCACAACCTAAATGGAAGTTTCCCTATTGCATCTTTTGTTGTTGTTGTTGTGTGTCGTTGAGTTGGAACTGACCCACATCTGACCTAATGTTAGGTTTTCTGAGGCAGTTGATGACACAGGAAGAGACCACCCATCTTTTTCCCATGGAGCAGCTGGTGGATTCGAACAGCATGCCTTTGATATTGCAGCACAGCTTCTTAGCAGTAGGCCACCAGAGCTCTGTATACATCTGTAGACACCAAATAACACAGTAACAGAGCATAGGAAGAGAAAATGGCAGGAAATTCACAGAGAAGTCAATCAGAGTGCAGGACCAATTTATGCCAGTGGATCACAAAGCCTGCCTGTGATCAATTGGAGGGCAGCCCAATACCTTCATAATCCTCCCAGTTCCCAAGGGGAAGATGAGTCACATCTGAGCTGGTGTGGCCATAAGAACATTAGGATGACATCAAAGATTGAGAAAGAGAATCTATAGCACATCTCAAAAGAATGACTTGTTTGAGTTGGCTGGCTGTGTTACAAGGTTTTCCTTTTCCTGATTACTTCTTTTTCTTTTCAGATCGTGGCCAAGAGATACAGAGATTTTGAATTTCCTCCTGAAATGACTGGCCTCTGGAGATACTTGAACAATGCCTATGCTAGGGACGAGTTCACAAACACGTGCCCTGCCGACCAGGAGATTGTACATGCATATTCAGATGTTGCAAAGAGAATGAAATGAAATCTAGCTGTTTTCTGTTTTCTTTCACACTTGAGACTAGGCTGCAAAAAGAGTGTGTTTGATATATTCTCTCCCAATGACCACCTTTTGGAAAATAATGCTCATAGAGCAAGTCCTCTCAACACCACATGACACATGGTCTTGTACTATCTTTTTTGTTTATTTAAACATACCCAATATCCATTGCTAATTATCAGTTGTCCTGGTTATGCTAGCTCCTGTCTTTGACTTTCTTAGTATTTTAACCCATTAATATTTAGAACACACATTTTACACTTTAAGTTTCAAAGCAAATTAGATTCTGATTCACCTCCTCCAATTTTTTTAGACAAGTGTCTGTCTCTGATAATTCATTTTAAAAGAAATACACAGCTTGCCTTCCTCATTTAAAATGTTATTTTTTTTTCCAAATGGAAAAATCCCTTCTTGTTCTGTAATTAAAAATTATACATACCTATTGTGAAATTTCAATGCAATTTAGGATGGTATAAAGAAGAAAGTGGAAGAATCATCTGAAATTTTGATACATTAGGTAACAACTGATACTTTATTGGTGAAGTCCTTGAAATCTTCGCTCTTTCTCTCATGCACACACCCTCACAGCACACAGACTGTTTTGCGTTCATGTATGTGATCATGCTACTTTCTTTTGAAGGCCTGAAGAGGACTCCTCTGTGTGGTGGTCAGCAATGTTGATCAGATCATCTCCAATTAATGGCAACCTTCCGTAAAACAGGATAAAATTTTACCCCTTCTTTTACCAGCCTCATAATTATGACTATGTTTAAGTTTATTGTTTTGAGTTGCTATGCTTGAGTCTTTACGCCAATCCAAGGACTTGCTTTGTCTACAACCCTTACAAACTTACCAACTTCATAAAAGACCTAAAGAAAAAGATCTGGCACTCCATAGCTGGAGAGGATGTTGGGCTCGGGCTTCCTAGAAGTGGAGGATCACCGAGATTGGAGACCAGCACGAATCACCTGGAACAGGAAGCCGTGGACATCCATCCGCCCCACACTGCCTCTGTCTTCCGATGCCTGTAACCTTGAGTTCCAGGAGAGGAAATGGAGAAGTGTGCACATCCATGTCTTTAGTTCCTTCTTCCTTGTACCTTCTCTTGTTCCCTCATCATCGAGACCATGCTTTCAGGAGGACTCAACTTTACCTGCAAGTTGGAGACTCTTCATACTTTGTACTGAAAAGTGAATTACGCACACCTCAATTCCTTCTTAATGCTGCTCTCTCTTAACCTGCCTGCCCCCACTCCCCAAAAAATAGCTTCTGTAGAGTTGCTGCAACCCCCCTGTGACCCACGCATCTCTGAGTGGGACTGTGTTCCGTGAAAAGGACACTTATTCAGAGGATGATGTGGTGTAGGACTTGCCTGCCCCTTGTTGCTTCTTTTCCTTTTTCAGTCTCAATCAGAGGTCAGGGAGGGAAAATCCACAAGAAGTTATGGGCAGTTCTGGGAAATGGGCAAGTTAGAGAGGAAGTGGAAAGTGTTGACTAGGTTACTGGTTTATCTGTGGCTTTCATTCTACCATTCCAGGATGCAGGCTCTGGTTGACAGTTGTGTGTGTGTGGGCTGGTTGCTAGGTTCCGACCCAAGACTTGGAATCCCAATGTGAGGCTGTTTAGATAGCTATCAAGAGCTCACAGGATTTGAGCATCTTCAATCACGTGGAGTCCCTTTGACACAAATCCTATAGAAAGCCCTTCCTGTAGAGTTGGGTGTATGTAGCATGCGGTTGATGCTGAAATGCTCATTTCTTATTTTACATCTGTAGATGATTCACTAGGAAGAAAGTAAAATGCATTACTAATAGCTATCCTGAGATGTAGTGGCAGCAAATTTCATAATATGGTGGTTACATTCATTTCTATTTTAAAAATACGGTGGTCTTATATGGGATGGCAGATCCCACCATCAGTTTTGTTAATGACACATTTTTGGAGGTCAATCCTAATGTATGCCACTATCATTGATCATGCTGTCCCATATCTTCTTAGAAGTCAGATTTTAAAGTATAGTGTTGCAATGTTAGCTTTCAACTGGTAAAGAGGTAGACCACTGCTGTCACTAGGGCTAACTTTGTAAGTTTTAGATATTCAAATTACCAAACTCTGTGCCTTACAAATTAAACAAGTTACAAAATTGTCTAAATGGTGTCTGTTGCTTTTTATTTTCTTACTTTTCATTTGTTGTTATAGTTGTGTATCATTGAGTCAGATCTGACTCATAGGTGACTCTCTATTGGGCATTCAGAGGCTGTAAACCACACAGGAGGAGATTGTTGATCTTTTCCCCCACAAAGAATTGAGGCTAAAATGGAAACTTGTACACCAGTGTTGATAGCAGCATTATTCACCATCACAAGAACATGGAAACAGCCCATATGTCCAACCACAAATGAATGGATTGAGAAGGTGTGGTACATTCATACAATGGAATACTACAGAGTATGCAGGAGCAATAATTTTGTAAATTACTACCTAACTTGGGAGGGACTGGACAGCATTATGCTGAGTGAACTAACTCAGTCTCACAAGGACAAATACTGTATAAAATCACTGTAGAATGAGTATAAGGATCCAAGGAGGGGAGAAGGGGGAAATAGAGTGGTGAAGATTCATGGGTTGCATGATTTGATAATTTGATAGGTGAGTGGGGTGAAGGAAATGGGAAGGATCTTTTTGGAAAAACAATGTATTCGAACTTAATAAATAAATCAGAGTAATAAAAAAACCCTCGTAACCTAGTTGGTAGTGAGTGGAACAATTAACCTGAAGCCATGCCTCTTTGGTGTTTCAAATCCACCACAGCTTTACAGGAGAAAGATATACAATATCCTCCAGTGAAGTTTATTTCCTGGGTAACTCCACCATGAGTCGGGCCAGATTCAATGGCAATGACATGAGTTACAGGGGCTGGAGAAGATGCAGATGACCTGTTTTAGAACAAGTGGCTGAAATAGAGGCTTCAAACCCTATTTTGTTTTCAAATAGAGTTATTAAAGAAAAAAGCCCTGACTTTTCTCAGCTCCAGCTTTACTTCCAGCTCTGTCTTACAGACAGATGGCACTTGTGTTAAAAGCCCACATGTAAATGGAGTATGAGGAGGTGAGGAATAGTCCAGACTGTTCTGTGATCTCAAGACCTATACTGCTTTTCAGTGCTGCATACTATTTCACTGTGTGATGCAGCACTGAAATACAAAGATCTCATGAAATACTATACAAAATGGGTGACCATGGAGAACATTATGCTGAGTAAAATATCTCAGTCACAAAATGACGAATAGTGCACAATACCATTACTCTAGAACAGGACTGATATAGGGGTTGGGGGAAAACTAAGGAAAGGAGATAAAAAATATATGTGACACTGAAACAGACAAGGGAGAGAACTGTATAAAAGGAATATATGAATAGGTATTATTGGCATGACAAAAGTCCCGAATCAGAGCTGTATAGTAAAGTGGTTGGATGTGGGGGTAGGAGGACTGTATAACAATGAAAGAACTTTTTTCCCCAAAGGAAAAAACAAACTGGGTGGGGGTCAGGGAGAAAAATGCACAACAATGAATGAATGGAAATCCAAGTTCTTTATAAACTTAAAAAAAAAAAGAAATACTGAGCATAAAAATCACAATCAAAATACAAAATTTTATTTAAAAAATGACCCTTACAGCAGAATTATTTCTAAAATAAAATGCATTTCTTCTTCAAAACATATCCTGTAGAAGGCAAATATGGTCCAAATAGCGAGCAGATTCCATTCTTGATGGAAGCTAAGCCCCTTCGAGTGGGAAATTGTCTTCCAATTGTCTGAGAGGCTGACAACTGGAAAAAGAATCAGCTTTACTTGTGGACATAAAACCTCCAAAGCCAGACTTAAAAGGAACACAAGCACATCACAAGGCTGTACTCTCTGTGCACCATCCAGAAAGCAAAGATGTTAAAATCAAATTAACTTCAAGCAGGATTTTCAGGGACTAGTGGTCTCAGGAGATAATTTCCAGTCTACAGATGGGTCTCCACCAGGAATCAATGTTTTTCAAGGACTTCAACCTCCTCCCCACACAAATACAACATAAACATAAAAGCATGTACACAGATAAACACTGACATATGTACATGAACACATACACATATTTACACTCCCACACACCTACCTACACAAGCACATGCAAACACACACTCATGCATAAGACATACGCGTGAACACACAAATTCTCAGAGAGAGATATTGCTATGAATGTATACAAGTACATTTAGTTACACATACTCACAAACACATGCTTGAACATACGCAAACATATACATATATAAATACACATACACACACACACACACATACACTTGCACATTGTGGAGTGAGGTCAGGGCCCACTTTCTATCCTTTCTCCAATCAGTAACTAATAGCTGACTAGTAGCAACACTCACTCCTCACGTTCAGGGATTCACACAGCTTTGGAAGAAATTTTTAAAAATGGTATTTTCCAAAGGAAATATGAATTACTACAACCACCTGGTCAAGTGACTGGAAGAGACACACATTTATTCCTATTCCAAAAAAAGGTGAACCAACAGAGTGTGGAAATTATAGAACCATATCACTGATATTACATACAAGCAAACTCCTGTTGAAGATTATCCAAAAGCTACTGGAACAGTGCATGGACAGAGAACTGTCAGAAATATGAGCTGAGTTTAGAAGAGGCCATGGCACTAGGGACATCACTGCCAATGTCAGATGTATCTTGAGCAGAGGCAGAGAGTACCAGAGGGATGTCTATCTGTGTTTCATGGTCTATGCAAAGCATTTGAGTGAATCACAACAAATTGACCTTGAGAAAAATGGGAATCCCAGAATGCCTGATTGTGCTCATGGGAAACCTATACTTGGACCAGGAGGCAGTCATCTGAATAGAGCAAGGAAATACTGCATGGTTCAAAAATCAGAAAAGAAGTGCTTCAGGCATGTGTCTTGTCTCT